CACCATCATGCCCAGCTAATTTTTGTATTTTTAGTAGAGACGAGGTTTCACCTTGTTGACCAGGGTGGTCTCGATCTCTTGACCTCGTGATCCACCCGCCTCAGCCTCCCAAAGTAATGGGATTATAGGCGTGAGCTACCGTGCCTGGCAGTAGTGGTTTTCTAAGAACTGTGTTCAGGCTGGAAGGCACTATGGCAAAGCCCACTGCCATCTCTTATCTGGATTTCTGTCTCTGCCTCACTTTGGCTTAGGCTGGCCCATTCTGCACATTGTATCTAGAGTAACCTTTCTAGGAGATTTCTCTGGGACCCTGCTGGGAAACCTTCCTTCATTCCCCATTGTATTCATTTCCTGTTAAAATGCCACAAACTGAACGACTTAAAATAACACACATTTATTATCTTACAGTTCTGGAGGTCATGAGTCTAAAACCAATCTCACTAGGCTAAACTCCAGGTTTTGGCAGGACTGGTTCCTTCCTAGAGGTTGTAGGGAAAAGCCATTTCCTTACCTTTTCCAACTTCTAGAGGCCACCTGCATTCCATGGCTCATGGTCCCCTTCTTCCATCGTTAAAGACCACAGTTGTATCACTCTGACCTCTGCTTCTATTGTCACGTCTCCTTCTCTGACTCTGCTCCTCCTGCTGCCTTGTTCTTATACCTATGATCATAAGAACCCTTGTGATTTAATTGGGCCCACCCAGATAATCCAGGATCATCTCCCCATCCCAAAGTCCTTAACTTAATCACATGGGCAACGTTCCTTTTTACATGCAAGATAATATAGCCACAGGTTCCAAAAACTAGGATGTGGACATTACTGGAGGACTGCTATTCTGCCAATCACACCCATGGCCTTCAGGATGAAGTCCAGGCTCCTTAACTTGGCTTGCCAGCCTCTCAGAGGCATACCCGCTACTTCTCTGTGTAACCTCATTCCACTCCCCTCTTCAAACTCCCTGTTCCAGGTACATAGGCTTCTTTCAGTTTCTAGGACTTGCCCTCCTGATTTCTCCAGTCCTGGTCCAGGCTGGTTCCTGGTCTGGAAAACCTCTCCCCACCTCTTTACTTGACTAATCCCTACTCATTTCCAGCCACAGCTTAAGCTTCAGTTTCTTTGAAAGCTTTTGACAACTTCTACTCTCCAAAGTTTCTCCAGATTTCCTTCAGGGCTCTCAAGTCTTCTTCTAATGTTCTTGGCCTGCTTATATTGCCTTTTATATGATTGCTTGTTTGATTATACTCTCTCCCAAAATGTAAGCTCTCTGAGGCCAGGGACAGCAAGGGCAACTTCATGCTTGTCACTCATTAACTTTTTACTGAATAAATTTTATTTAAAAATTAATTTCATAATAGAAACCAATTATTTTACTCTGTGGGTTTCATCTTAAATGTTACCATTCATTTAACAAATATTTACTAAGCACAAACTTGGTAAGTACTGAGCCAAGGCAGTTAAAATTAAGAAGAAATCACCTGACGATTATGAGGATGCTGGGGTTGTAGAGGTGTGATCACAAGGACATAAATAACAATTCTCCCCCTCTAGGAAAATGGACTTGGAGGTCAGCGAACCAATAGACTTTAGTTCTGGAGATCATCAACATCTGATTCGGAAGGCAGCAGATAAAAGTATCCAGTCCGGATCTGGTGAGCGCTACCCACCTTCAACTTCAGCTGGGCCACAAGAACCTCAGGAGAAGCCACGGTCAAAGGAAACTGAGCGGTCGAATGTCTATGTGATACAGATTTCAGATGACGTCACCCCAGGTGATAGCAATGCAACTTTAGGCAATCCATTCTCGGAAGCAGCAGTCCGCAGAGGTGAGAATAAAGAAATGACCTTTTAAGAAGAGAAAAGCACATGTTCTCTAAAAATGTTTCCGCAGAGTAGATTGGCAGATACAATTTTGTTTTTAGTTTTTCTGAGTGATGCTTTCTCAAAAAACATGATGTAGGACTTGCTCCCAAGTTGTCCAGGGCATTCAGAAACTCATAAGAAACATATGGTGAACAAATTTTGGGTTTTTTTTTTAAGGAAATATGAATTAGTTGTGGATCATAAAATGTTTTTACTTGTATCTGAGGTGATACATAATATTGGCTTAAGCTTTAAAGTGTCCACTCTGCCATCCTTAGGCCTTCTGAGGCCTGAACATTGCAAGTGGACTGTGAGCTCGGAATTCTATTGGTCTCCCTGCGTCCCTCACCACCAGCTTCCTGTGGCTGGAAAGCTGCCTTTTGGAGCTCTAGCCTTTGAAGTAGGAAAAGGAAAAGGCAGACAGCCAAAGGCAAAGAAGAGCCAAGAGAGGGCTGCAGGTGTCCTGAGAGTCAACCAAGCCAGTCTTCTTTTCAGAGGCATTTCTAGAAACCACACCCAGAGTTTGGAATGCCATGCCATTGACTCACCTGTGTTACATGGCCACCTCCATCTGGAGTTGTTCAGTTGGGCCCATTGCCATCCTTAACAAGATATGGGTCAGATAGTGAGGAAGCCAGGGATACTGGGTGTTGCTAAGCACCTGGGGGTCTCTGCAACCAATACCTGGCTTACACAGCGCTTTGTGCAAGGGCGACATTATTGCTTTTCATCTTTACAACAACCTGACCAACACAGAAGCTGTACTGCCATTTTACAGACAAGAAAATGAGGCTTAAGGAGTCTAATTGAATTAGTCTTTCAGGTCTAATTCAAAAATATGTGGAGCCTCCTTGCCAGTGTAAGAGTCAGTTATTTATGTCTGCCTCTCCTGGAGGGCAGAGGCTGGCCCTTTTCCCATTTAAAACAATTATGTAGTATATGAGAAGATGAAAGTGCTGTGGAGAGAAGGAAAAGAATAGCAGGGTAATGGATTGAGTTACAGGGGTTGTAATTTTTTAAAGCAGCATTATGGAGATATAATTTGCAAATCATAAAATTCATCCATTTTCAGTGTACAATTCACTGGTATTTAGTATATTTAGAGTTGATAACCATCACAATCAATTTTAGAAACTTTTCATCACCTCAAACAGAAACCCATCCCCAGGCTGGGCGTGGTGGCTCATGTCTGTAATCCCAGCACTTTGGGAGGTTGAGGCAGGCAGATCACTTAAGGTTAGGAGTTTGAGACCAATCTGGGCAGCATGCTGAAACCCTGTCTCTACCAAAGGAAAGAAAAGAAAAGAAACCCATACCCATTGGCAGTTACTCCCATCCTCCCTCCCCCGAGCCCCTGCCAACTATTAATCTACTTTCAGACCTCTCTATGAATCTATTTTGAACATTTCATGTAAATGGAATCATACCACATGTGGCCTTTTGTGATTTCCTTCTTTCACTTAATGTTTTTGAGGTTTTCCCACGTTGTAGCATGTGTCAGTATTTCATTCCTTTTATGAACGGGCCATATACAATTCAATTGCCTGGAGAGAAAACATTTTGTTTATACATTTATCAGTTGACAGATAATTAGATTGTTTCCACCTTTGGGTTATTTTGAATAATGCTGCAATCAACATTCATATTCAAGTTTTTGTGTAGACATATGTTTTCATTTCTCTTGGGTAGATACCCAGGAATTGCTGAACTATAGAATAACTCTGTGTTTCACATTTTGATGAACTGCCAACCTTTTCCAAAGTGGCTGCACCATTTTACATTCCAAGCAGCAATGTATGAGGGTTCCTGCTTCTCTGCATCCTTGCCAAAACTTATTATAGTCTGTCTTTTTGGTTATAGTCATTCTAGTGTTTGTGAAGTAGCATCTCATTGTAGTTTTGAGTTGTATTTCATTAGTGAATTTTCATTCACATGTCTTCTTTGGAGGAATGTCTACTCAAATCCTTTGCCCACATAAAGAAAGCAACAACCATTTCATAATTCTTGGGCTGACTCAGTTGGGCACCTCTTGTGCTGGTCTTGAATTGGGAGCTCTCATTTACTTACAAGGAAATGGTAGCTGAGGCTGCTATGCCCATTATGACTCCATGTTATGGCTTGCAGTTGGGTGTTAGTTGGGGATCCAAATTCATCTTCTGTAGGTGTATATCCAGTCTTCCCAGCACCATTTGCCAAAATGATTATTTTTTCTCCATTGAATTTTCCTGGCACGTTTGTTAAAAATCAATTGACCATAAATATAAGGGTTTATTTCTTGATTGTCACCTTGATGCTATTGATGTCTATGTCTGTTCTTATGAGCCTGGGCCACATTTAATACTTGTTCCCCCACAGTCCCTGCTACATAGCAGATGCAAAATTAATAAGAGCTAAATGAATATTTTAATGTCGGCAGCATGCACTTGGAAATAGATGTTCTGGTATGTTTATTTATTTATTTATTTATTTTTGAGACGGAATTTCACTTATGTTACCCAGGCTGGAGTGCAATGGCGCGATCTCGGCTCATCGCAACCTCCGCCTCCTGGGTTCAGGCAATTCTCCTGCCTCAGCCTCCTGAGTAGCTGGGATTACAGGCACACGCCACCATGCCCAGCTAATTTTTGTATTTTTAGTAGAGACGGGGTTTCACCATGTTGACCAGGATGGTCTCGATCTCTTGACCTCGTGATCCACCCGCCTCGGCCTCCCAAAGTGCTGGGATTACAGGCTTGAGCCACCGCGCCCGGCCTTGGTATGTTTATTAAGACCGCTGTATCCCACTGCATTGTTGTCATACTTCTATGCATAGAAACTGCCCAGCAAAAGGACAGTTGGTGAGTCTATAAGCAAATTTTAAGCAGCATTACTTTTTTTTTTTCCTTTGAAATTAGGGTAAAGCCACACAAAGGCAAATTGCCATTGCCAGTGCCATATTCAGAGGGTGCAGAAAGTGAGCAGAAAGAGGTGCCCACGTGCTTTGCCTTGTGTGTTGGCCTGTCATTCCCTTGGAACTCTTTGGTCTTACATACAGCTCCACAAGTTATCTAGTTTCTGCATTAGGAAGTAGAAGGGAAGAGAGTTATTACAGGCAGGTAGGCTGGAGAGAAAAGTGGCAGAAAAGTGCCACAAACTCTCTGCAGCCCAAGTCCATCTCCAGGGAGATGCACCCTATCCCCACAGTCCTGAGGTGCTGCTGCTCTCTGGTATAGGGAGGTAGTGTTGCCATATCCCTAATGATGGCCTGTGACATGGTGAGGCTTTCAGGTCATGTTTGATCCTAAGGAGGATGGGGTGTGCATGACAAGGAATTAAATTCCTGAGTTCATCTTGAAAATTCTGGAGTTTGGCCAGGCATGGTGGCTCATGCCTGTAATTCCAGCATTTTGGGAGGCCAAGGCAGGCGGATCGCCTGAGATCAGAAGTTTGAGACCACCCTGGGCAACATGGTAAAACCCCATCTCTACTTAAAAAAAAAAAAAAAAAAAAAAGAAAGAAAAGAAAAGAAAATTACCTGGGGGTTGTGGTAATCTTAGCTATTCAGGAGGCTGAGGCATGAGAAGTGGTTGAACCCAGGAGGTAGAGGTTGTAGTGAGTTGAGATCGAGCCACTCCACTCCAGCCTGGGCAACAGACAGAGACTCTGTTTAAAAAAAAAAAGAAAGAAAAGAAAAAAGAAAATTCTGGAGCTCCCATAGATAAACCATCAGATCGCCCATAAAACACCTCTGTCCCACCATCTGGAATGAGCGTGCTGTAAAAGTTAGAGCTGCGTTTTTGTTGTTATTCCATTTGCTGACTGTAAACTAGCACTGCCTTTCCTATCCCCAAAAAAAAGCAAAGAAAAAATTCCTTTCATTAAATTTCAAAAATAAGTTATTACATTTATGTTGTTGCTTTTGACTATTACATCATAAAAATAATGTTTGTGTCTCCTCAGCTTTCATTATCAAAGTGTTCCTCATCCTGTCAGTTCAGTTGGTGATCACTGTGGTAATTACCAGTGTGTTCATTTTCTGGTAAGTCTTTATGACTGATGTAGAATTAAGTGTTAGGTTGTTCACATTACTTCTTACTGAATCAGGTTAATTTAATTTTGATCATTTAAAAATAGTTTATCTCTTTTTGTTTTTCTGAGGCAACTCCTAGACCAACGTGGTGGTAGATTTCTAGAATTTAACTTCCTAACCAAAGCAAAAGAACTTTTTAAAACGTCTTATTTTGGACACTGTTTTTTTGTTTTGTTTTGTTTTTTAATTTTCTCTCAAGCTATTTCCACCATGAAAATTGGATTGAGAAGAAAAGGTGAGCTGGGTGTGGTGGCTCATGTCTATTATCCCAGCACTTTGGGAGGCTGAGGGAGGTGAATCACTTGAGGTCAGAAGTTTGAGACCAGCCTGGCCAAAATAGGGAAACCCCATCTCTACTAAAAATACAAAAATTAGCCAGGCGTGGTGGTGGGCACCTGTAACCCCAGCTACTCAGGAGGCTGAGGCAGGAGAATCACTTGAACTCCAGAGGTGGAGGTTGTAATAAGCTAAGATTAAACTACTGCACTCCAGCCTGTGCAATAGAGTGAGACTCTATCTCAAGGAAAAAATAATAATAAATAAAGGTGAGGTTACCTTGGAAGCTGGAACAGTGTTAAATTCAGAAATTATTTGAGGGGCTTAGTGCAGTGATTCACACCTGTAATCCCAGCACTTTGGGAGGCTGAGGTGGGAGGATTGCCTGAGGCCAGGAGTTTGAGACCAACCTGGGCAACATAGTGAGACCCCCATCTCTACAAAAAATAAAAGTAAAAATTAACCAGATGTGGTGGCACATGCCTGTACTCCCAGCTATTTAAGAGATTGAGACAAGAGATGGCTTAAGCTCATGAGTTCAAAGCTGCAGTGAGCCATCATTGTGCCACTGCACTCCAGCCTGGGCAACAGAGCAAGACCCTGTCTCTAAAAAACAAAAAGAAATTATTTGAGGGACTATGATCTATCACTGCTTAAACATACCCTATGAAAATCTATATTTATGAAACAACAGATGAGAAGTTGATTTTTTTTGCTTTGCACACATACCAATCTCAGCACTTTTAAAATAAAAACCTTTATTAGGACATTTGCATTCATCCAAATTTTACTTATAACTTATTATGAATATATCTATTTTAAGAAAAACAATGTTTCATTGTTTCATTCTCCATCTGTCATTATTCGTCAGTCAGGGTTTCTTCCTTTTTTCTCATGATATTGCTTTATTTTACTTCTTCTTAAATATCATATTAGTTAGCAAAATATTTATCGTGTAAAACTGTATTAAATTTTTTTTTAACCAGGAAGGCTTTAAAAGTTTGGGTGGTCAATACCCCCTCGTTCATCTATTTAATCTTGTAAGTATCATTGGACTTAATACAATGTATTTTTCTACTGTGTATTGCCTGAGATTCTTTTACTGTTCAAAATGAGGTACGAAGTATAACATTCTTGAAATGATAAAATTATAGGGATGAAAAATAAACAAATTAATGGCTGCCAGGAGTTAGGGTTGAGTGTATGGGTGTGGGTGTTACCATTGTCAACCTAAATTAATGACAGAGAGAGAGGCTCCCTGCAGAGTGTAATAGGAAGTGGCAGGGGCACTGCAATAGGCGATACAGGAAGCCACGATGGATGATGGAGAGGTTGGGATAAGAGGAAACCTTTAAAAGGCAAAGAGAGATCTACCTAAATCATTTCGAAACAAAGATCATTGGTTACAGGGGCTTCTTGCAGGAGCTAGTGCTAACTCATTGGTGGAGACAGCCATTGCCAGGCAAGTGTTTTTGTGAGAGCAACTTGGCTGAAATGTTACTATCTTGAGGAATTTTTTGTTATACACCCTGTGATAGACATGTGGGCAGGACATGTAGGGATGTGTGGGACATGTAGAAATTTCTTGTGGGTTTTGAAAAGGAGGTCTTTGGGCTAGTTCTTATCTCAGATACAGGAGATCCCCTCCTTCATGACCTCCAGCTCCACTTTGGGTGTGACCTAAGTGACTCCATATTGGCACTGGTGACTTTCACACTATACAGGGCAGGGGTAGTATGAGTGAGGTCTTTATGCATGTTTTTTTGAAGGGATAGTTCTGAATCTTGATTGCAGTGGCAGTTACATGCATCTGCACATAGATTTGTGTCATAATTGGATGACATAGAATTATATATATACACTGTATCAATGTCAAATTACTGGATTTGGTACTGTACTATAAATACATAAGATGTAACCATTTGCAGGAAACTAAATGAAGGTTTTACGGGACCTCTCCCTTTGTAACTTACTGTGAATCTATAATTATTTTAAAATAAAAATATTTTAATGCCCCATAAGCTATCTGTGCATAGAAATGAGAAAAGTTATTTTAAAGGCTAAGAAAAGGCAAAAGTAAAAATTAATATTTTTGTTTCTAATACTATAATACTTATGAGATAAGTAACGTCATAGTAATAGTTACTAGGATCTATATATTTCTCTCTGTATAATATGCGCTATGATATAGTCACTGAAAGCAAATAACACATGGTTTTCAATTATCCTCCAGCCCAGCATTTTTTGCCGTGTTTATTATGCTTGCTTGCTGCGGGAATCTCCGCCGTCAGGTCCCCGCAAATTACATTCTCCTGGGAGTGTTTGTAAGTAAACCTTGTCAGCACCTGCTCTAGTTCATCTCTGAAATACATTTTTGTCACATTATTAAATTTATTCCTTTTATTGTGGAAACTCTTTCGGTGGAATAATACAGATAGAAATTATTTGTGGGACATTCTCTTGGCGGAATTTTGTTTGTAATGAAGTAGTAAACTTATGAGACGGTATCACACCCTTTGAGTAAATTAGGGGATCTGGAGATCTGGGCGACTTCGTGCCAGCACACTTGCCTCTAATGAGGCCACTTGGGGCGTGCACTCCCGAGTCTGGGCTGCACTTTCGGGGACAGTTAACTTGACTGTTGCCGGACCCCTCTCACGTGCAAACGCATTTTGTTATGGAGAGTGGGTTCCACGTCTAGTTCACAAAGTCGTGTGCAAGAAGTTTGTATTTCTTTATTTTTGTAAAATGTATTTTATTTCTTCTTCAAGTCCCACTGGGAGCAGAACCCATCTCTGAGCTAGCTTCTCCCTCATTTCCACAGCTTGCATCTCAGCTCAGGACGGCTTTTCCAGCACTGCAGAGTTAGGGGCTGAGAGGGCTCTCCTGATCTATCCGCGGCCGGGTTCCTGGGCCCGGGTTCTGGGTTACCTGGAACCGGCCTCATGGTGGTGGCTTCCACCCACAAGGCCTCGCCACATCTGCCCATTTTCTGTCGTTTGGTGCCACCCTGGGCTCACTTTCTTGGCAGCCAATTCCTTTGCGTGCTGCCCACAAGAACCGCAGGATCGTGCCAACCCTCAGCAGGTACCCGAAGCTCCTAGATTTTTCTAAACTTGAATATAACTCGATTTCCCACCGGTTTCCCCACATTTCAACCCAGGGCTTAGCTCCCCAGAGGTCGCAGGGCTCCTCCCTGCGATCCCTGAGACCCAGAACCGTCTCAGTATGATTCAGGAGGGTGTCAGCAAACAATTTTTTTTTGGCGATCTTGGCTTACTGCAACTTCCGCCTCCCAGGTTCAAGCAATTCTCCTGCCTCAGCCTCCCGAGTAGCTGGTATTACAGGCGCCTGCCCACCATGGCTGGCTAATTTTTGTATTTTTAGTAGAGACCGGGTTCCACTATGTTGGCCAGGTTAGTCTCGAGCTCCTGAACTCAGGCGATCCACCTGCCTCGGTCTCCCAAAATGCTGAGATTACAGGCATGAGCCACCGCGCCCGGCCAGCAAATATTCTTTTTGGGAAGATTGGCATTTCTTCCCAAGCAGTGTTAGCATTCTTTCACAGGAAGATTTACTTACCAGTTGATTTATTATCCATCTGATTCCAAAACAGACTTGAGGTGGCTTATACAAATATCCATAGTTTACGAATATAAGATAAATTAATGGAGAAATCTGATGGAAGGAAAAATAGGGTAGAAAAATAAAGATAATGGTTAGATTCGTGCGCAAAATGCGTCAAGTCCTATGCACGTGTCTGGAGCCTAGATTTGGTTCTGCGCCCCCTGGTGGTCAAAGCGAGCAAGAGCACGCGACTGTCAGCATCAGTACCGCGTAGCCACCCTGGGGATTTGCAAGCTGGGAGGAATAGCTGCCTGCTGAGGCTGGAGAAGACAGGCTGCCCGCTGCCCACATCTGGACATTTCCTTACCTGCCAGCGCATGGAGGAGGCTTCCTTAGCTGGCGTGTGTACCCTGCTCACTGGCTGGGCCAGCAGTGGCGTGTCCTGCACTGACAGCACAGATCACACTCAGAACGGAGCCCGAGCTGGAAGACAGACGGAGGCTGGAATGGGGGGGCGGGGGCGACAGGAAGGTGTGCTGGTTTCCCAGAAATGCTTGAGTTTTTGACCTAAACATTTAAAATGGCCTTAACGTTTGTTACAAGAGGTAAAAGTTATTGGTCTCCAAGGAAGCTCTCATCTCTGAGGTTTTGCTGTTAATCTCAAAGCAAGTAACGGCTTAAAAGGAGAGGTATTATACAGGGGCAAAGCATGAGTTATGTTTTCCAGACTTAATGTCATGCCCAAGGGTTAGGAAATATGTGGGGAAAAGCCCACTTCAGAAAAGGAGTTGAGGGGAAAAAGGAAAATACATTCACCGACACAGCTTTTTCCCATAGAATTTCGGCCCCTTAAGCCCACGTTCTGAGCTCTTGAAGTCTTCAGAGTTGTGACTTCCACAGTCTCTTCCTACTCTCTTCCACTCTCCCGAAAACTAAAAGCCATTTTCCAGCCTGAAAACATTTCCTCTTCCTCTCTCTCCGTCTCCTCCCAGTCTCTCCCAATTACACACACACAGTCACACATTTACACACCCAAAAGTCACACACCCACACCCTCTCACACCATTCACACCACACACATCCCTCACACCACATACACACACACAGTCACACCACACATTTACACACACCACTCATACACCACACACACATGCACGATCACACACACATATTACACAGACACACAGAGGGACACGCACCCCACTCACAAACTCACACATACACTACCCACACCACATACATGAACACCTCTTTCATGTGCTGCTGGAGCTGGAGAAATAAGAAGCCACTGATCCCATACAAGAGGAAGAAAATCATCTGGAGAGGAAGGTTTGAAGCGAGCACATTGTTAAATACCATTTGTACAGAGACTAGATACAGTCTTTACTCTATAATGGAAATAGAGACAGCCTACTTCATTAAGTTGTACAAAGTATAGGATCAGGTGATTACCCACTGGGTTTGGAAACACCAGAGGGGTGACCCAGGACTTTGGGGACTCCACTTCTCTCCCACCTCTGCTCCCGGCCATCTTGGCCAGTGGGAATTCAAATCCCCCTCTAGCAGGCCTCACACTAGGATGTAACCTTTATTTTTAACCTTGGAAACTGGAGGAGTCTTTCCCGGCTCTGCCAGTGGACCAGTGGGTCAGCTCAGTGTCTGGATTCACCTCGGGCAGAGCAGCCTTGAGGCTGGGCATGTCTCCAGCCCTGCAGCCACTGCTCTGTCATCCTCATGCCTTGGCTGTACACTGTCTGCGGGCCTGACAGTGGAGGCCTGAGCACAACCTCAATGCCTTTCTTGGCCTCATCCTCCAGCCTGACTGCCCACTGGCTCTCAGCCCCTGCCCCATCCCACCTTTCTTCCCACCCCTGGCTCCCTTTGGGTGATGAGAGTCCTCCAGAGCCGGGGGCTGGCACCTGCAGGCGCAGCTCCACACTCTGCTCTGCTGGTATCTGCCCTCCAGTCCCATCTCCCAGGCCCTGGGAACCTTGGTTCTCATCCCATGTCTGAGGTTGGAAGCCTGTCCCTCAGGTGCCGTGGAAAGCATCTGTACCCAAAGTGTTATGAAGCTTAGAAATCACATATCCTGTCCTGATGAAACATTGATATTGTGTGGGTGGCTCCATTTGATGAATGACAATATGCTCTACAAATGAACCTTTTTTACCTTGGTTTCTACATTCATAATTAATATGTATTTACTTCACTGAATATGTTAAAGTTACTATTGCGTTCAAAGAAAGGTTTACTAATAATTTTCTCTTGTCCGTCCTAGAGAGGATGATACAGAGATGTTTAATTCTGTTTATTCCCCATAGTCGGTCGTCCTGTGCCTGCATGCACTAGGGCTGTGCATGTTCCCCCTTGCTCCCTAGACTCTGCTCAGAAGCACACCCCTCAAATCACCTCTTCTGGATTCTGGGCCTTGGCCCCATGCCTCGGGAAGCAGGCTTCTGATTTATTGTGAATTTTGTTTTTAGACAGTTCTTCAAGGTCTGCTGCTAGGAGCCGTATCAGTGTAAGTCCTTGATACACATTTCCTTTGATTTGTGTGTACTTTTCTTGGAGTGTATGTGAACAGTAATCACAGTCTCTCGCTTTAGTTTCTACAAGGCCAATGAAGTGTTATGGGCAACAGCAGCAACCGCTCTGGTGACACTAGCACTCACTCTGTTTGCTCTACAAACTAAAGTAGGTATTATTGAAGGGAGTGTGCCAGGCATGTCCCTTTGTCCCCAACCCACTTCCCTATGTCTCCCCCTGCTCTGTCAGTGGGAGGTCTCACCTCCAGGGCCCTCTTGCATTAGGGCTTTCCATGGGCGTTGGCCAATGGGGAGTCCCAGCTGGAGAGAGGAGGCAGGAAGGGAGAGGTACTGATTCCCATGGCTTCCTCCCAGTGACAAGTTCCTCTTGGGCTAGCGGAATGCCTTAGCAAGATTCACTGCCTGTCGCAAAATGGCCAACTCAACACAACCTTCTGGGCTCCCGTAACTGCCCCCTCTCCGTTCCCCTTTGGGCCTGGGGCTGGTAAGCTCTTTGGCTGGCTGCTAGCCTAGGTTACTGCACTACCTGTTCTGGTTGCCTGCAAACACTTCTGTGGATAGTTCCTTACAAACAAACCCTCCTCAAATCACCCTATTTGAGTGTCTCATCTGTTTCTTGCTGGGACCCTGACCAATACAGGGAATTAAAAAATTTTAAAGTTGTAGTTTACCAGACTCCAAAATGCCAAGACATCCCAGAGAATATTACATAATTCGAGATGATTTCTGTTGAACTGTGAGATATCTCAGCCTCTGTCCAACCATAGGGTGTTCTTGAGATCTGATGTGGCCCCTCCTTTCAGTCCTGGTCAATTTCCTTTTGTAAAGGATGGGCTGGTCTTAGGTAAACAACTTACACAGACGGGAGTGCATTTCCTAAGCTGTTTGGCACACGTCATAAGGAAGGTCTTATGCAGAATTTTAGCCTTTTCCTGGTGGAAAAAGGAAGAAGTGTCAGAGTGACAGAAGAATCTACTAGATATTTAGTCAAACAGTATCAAAATTTAGAGATTCAACTTTAATTCATGATGAGATCAGTATTTGCCATCTCAAAGCTGGTCGTTTGTAGAAACCAGCCTATTTGTAAATAGATAGGCTTCCTTGCAATGAGTAAGGTGGGCCACTGTTGAATGCACAGATTCCTTAAGCCATTTAAAATCCCCTAAACTGCCAGAATACTTTTTTAAAAGCCCATTAATTCAGGGGAGTGAATATTATATTGTAAAGTATTTTATTTTATTGTACTGTTTGTTGATTTTTGAGATAGCGTCTTGCTCTGTCACCCAGGCTGGAGTGCAGTGGTACAGACTTGGCTCATTACAGCCTCCACCTCCAGGGCTCAAGTGATCCTCCTATCTCAGCCTCCCAAGAGGCTGGGACTATAGGCATTTGCCACCACACCTGGCTAATTTTTAAATATTTTGTAGAGTAGGAGGTCTCCCTATGTTGCCCAGGCTGCTCTTGAACTCCTAGCCTCAAGTGATACTCCTGCCTTGCCTCCAAAGTGCTAGGATTAAAAGCATGAGCCACTGTGCCCGGCCAGAAAGTATTTTAAACACAGTATTTGCACTGATAACTTTGAAAGGCAGCTGAATCCATGATCGGTAACATTTTTTCCCCTTATTAAGTTATGTGATAGGGATGGCAAAATTCAGTCCAACCACAGCCCAAGGGGTGCAGAGGAGATGTAGGAACATAATGAGTCTGAGTTTTTTCATGAACCCTAACTGCCTACTTAGCAGGGAGAAAATCAACTGAACATCCATTTGGTTTAAATGCAATTGGACCCCACAATTGAAGCAGTTCCTTTGGGCTGAGTGATAGTCTCACGTGGATATAAAATGCTCAGCTGTTCAGCCTCCCTGTCTCCCTGCCTTTCTCTCTAAAGTGGGGCTTGGGAATTTGGGATGAAGCTGTGGTTTGTGTGAGCGAAGAAGGGGATGGGGTGGGGATGTTATGGTCCGCCGTTGTTCCTGAATGACTGTCACCTGGATCCCAGAGTGACTGCATGCTCTGTGGGCCTCTGAAACTGACAGCCCAGCCCAGGCCTGACTTGGAGCCTGTTCTCTCTTGGGCGTGGTCAGAACTGACAGGGCTCCCCACCTGAATTGACCTCACCTTAGTTATCCTTCCTTAATGATGTCACATCTTCTTTCTGCCAACAAGGAGCAAGCCTTAGGGTATCACTGTCTCAAGCCAGATTTACTGCTCCCCAGACCTGGGTTGTCCAAGAGAAGTATAATGTGAGCCACAAATGCAAGTGATACATATAAACTTATATTTTCTTGTAACTACAGTAAAATGTCAAAAGGGACAGATGAAATTCTTTAGATAGTATATTTTTGTTAACCCAATACATATATAATGCAGTGTTACCATTTTGACACATAATTCACATAACCCAAATATAAATGAGATATTTTACTTTTTTTTGAGCTGAAATTCGATATCCAGTTGTGTATTTTACACTTAAACGGCACATCTCAATTCAGACCAGTCACATTTCAAGCGCTCAGCAGCTGCATGTGGCTACTGTAGTGAAAGCACAGCTCTAGACCAACTTCATCATGCACCAGAATCGGCCTGGGGCCTTGTTGAGACACAGATTGTAGGGCACAACTGCCCTGCAGTTGCTGCATCAGTAGGTCTGGGGTGGGGCATGATAAATATGAATTTCCCAGGTGGTGCTGATGCTGCTGGTATGAGAACTGCACTCAGAGAACTAGTGCTTTGGATTATTCCCTTGGTGTATTAAGGGTGGAGAGAAAAGGGGGAAAAATAATTAGGAAAATACTCCTGCAGGAAAATATACTGGATTCAAGGCTCTTGTTGGGCTGCATAATCTAATTGTTTTTTAGGCCAGAAGATAAACATCCTCTTTCTTTTCTTTATTCTTTTTTTTTTTTCGAGATGGGGTTTTGCTCTTGTTGCCCAGGCTAGAGTGTGATGGCATAATCTTGGCTCACTGCAATCTCCGCCTCCCAGGTTCAAGCGATTCTCCTGCCTCAGCCTCTCGAGTAGCTGGGATTACAGGCATGCGCCACCACGCCCAGCTAATTTTGTATTTTTAGTAGAGATGGGGTTTCTCCATTTAGGTCAGGCTGGTCTCAAACTCCCGACCTCAGTGGATCCACCTGCCTTGGCCTCCCAAAGTTCTGGGATTACAGGCATGAGCTACCGTGTCTGGCCAACATCCTCTTTCTTAAGAAAACCTTAATCTGTCTGGGCGCAGTGGTTTACATTTGTAATCCCAGCACTTTGGGAGGCCTAGGCAGGTGTATCGCAAGGTCAGGAGTTCGAGACTAGCCTGACCAACATGGTGAAACCCCGCCTCTACTAAAAAATTAGCTGAGTGTGGTGGCGCCCCCCTGTAATCCCAGCCACGCAAGAGGTTGAGGTGGGAGAATTGCTTGAACCTGGGAGGCGGAGGTTGCAGTGAGCGGAGATCACGACACTGCACTCCATCCTGGGCGACAGAGCAAACCTCCATCTTAAAGAAAAAAAATAAAAAAGAAAGAAAACCTTAATCTCCTCAGGCTGATTTGGGTCACTGATTTATAAAGACAAAACCAAAAATCACATTAATACGTTTCCATATTAAAAAAGAATCATTAGCAGTAACTTTTGAAAGCTTACTATACGCTTTTATTAAAACATGCATATAAATGTGAAAAAGATAGCCAGTTAACATCTTGGTATATTTTACTCCATTAATGTTTTCTTATGTACATGGTTTTGAACATATGAATGCTTATGATCACCCTATACCTTCAAATATACACCCTACTTATTCAATGTATTTTTTTTGTGGGAAATTTCATATAAGTACAAAAATAGAATAATGTGATGAACCCCCAGGTACTCATTACCTAGTTTCAAAAATTATCAACTCATGGCTACTGGCATTTCTACCTTTTTCTCCCAGTCAGTGTAATATTTTTTATGTAGCATTTTTTAGTGGTTGGAGCTAATGAATTTCCATGGTTCTTGGAATTGGTCAGGGTAAATTATTATCAACGGGCCATTTTTTGTCTACGGGATATAAGATGCGTCTTTAAACATCCCAAAATTCCTTATAGATGATAACTGAGTTGTTTATGCTGTTTATGTTTTTTAGTGGGATTTTACCTTGCTAAATGGAGGACTGTTCGTTTTCTGCTTCGTGCTTATAGTCTATGGAATTATCTTAATCTTCGTGCCATTATATGTAAGTGAGATCTTACTGGGAAACCTCAGAGAATTGTTAAACATACAGATGAAGTGCTGGGTGTATTCGTCTGAGTCCTCTGAGAAGCAGACATGGAGCTGAAGATGAGTATGCAAGGATTTCAGTAGGAGAAATACCTCTGAGAGAAAAGAGGCAGGGAGCCAACAGCTGAGGAAGCTGTCAGACCATGATGGCACATCAGGCCCCGAGTGAGGGAGAGGGAGGGGAGGCTGGGTGGGAGCATTCTACACATAGCATGGTCTGAGGGAGGCTCAGTAAGGTCATCAGGAAGTCCCAGAGCTAATGTCAGTCATCAGGGTGGTCCCATGTCTCTCAGGAAGGGCCCTGCTGCTCCCAGCGAGGACTGAGAAGTGGGAAGTGTGGCCTAAGTGCAGAGTGCAGTGGGTTGCATAGCACAGCAGCTGCGCCTGTGGTCAGTTCCTCTCCTGTCCCCGTAACTGAAGATCTGTGAGACGGATTCTAATGGCCCCCACTGTGGTCATTAGGAGGCACCATGGACAGAAGCTCTGGTGCATGAACATTGAGCTACAACCCTAGACAGTTGTCCTTCCCCAAGAGGCTCTTGAGGTGAGGCTACCCACAAGGGCAGGACAGGTTCCTTCTCCTATATTTGGGTGCTGCTTGAACTACGAGGAGTGGTAGAGAAAGGCTTGTTTGGGCCTTTCCGATAGCAGCCTAAAGGAGGCTCCTTATTTTCCAATCTAGCTTTTTTTTTTTTTTTTTGCTTTAATATATTAATGAATGAATGAATGAATGAATGAATGAATTCTTACTGGATATTGGACATAGACCTATGTGTTTTTCACAAACCATCACATTCAATTCTGACAACATTCCTGAAAAGTTCATAGCTCGTCTATTTTATAGATAAGAAAACAGACTGGGAGAAATTAAATAATTCATCCACATCCCACAGGGAATGAGTGGCTGGGGTGGCATTGAGGCCAGGTTAGGGTGACTTGAGTGGCCATGCTCCTCCCACCTCATTCCATGGTCTGTGGACTGACTGTGAAGAGCTGTAGAGAGCAAGAGGTGTGATCTGGCCTGGTGTTGGCAATCTGTGAGTGGCTCCTATGTGGAGACCCTGTTGGAGGCCAGATCCACTGAGAGCTAGTCTGGGGCCTGGGACACTTTTGGCTAAAACCTCAAGGCCAACTTGGTCCCAATGCTGAACCAAGGAGTTTCTTTGGCAACAAGTGGACTAGTTACACAATCTTCAGAAATACATAGAATCAACAGTACTTCCTGGATTGGTTTAGTGTTATGAATGACCACATAGACTTAGAGCCAGGAAGGTGGCACCTGCACTTTAGAGATAAACTCAAAGGCTTCACAAAGATGGGCCTTAAAAGGCCCTAGCTCTTCATTTATTAATGGTAGCACAGATATTGGTAGTAATAACGCAAATATTAGATGGGTTCTGTAGCTCTTTCCAGTATAACTTAGGTGCAGTTAAAAAACTATGTTTCTTACTAGATAGATGGATCTTAGTTCCCATTCTTAATTTTCTTTTACAAATATCTACAATTTTGCACATGTGTTTAAATGGAAGACTTTGCTGGAGCCATTCCCTAAGTCTACATGCTTGTTGGACTTTAGCAATTTTGAAATCTTTGGACTCCAATGATCAGGTGTTTTCTTACTATTTGCTCAATCTGGAAATACTGTGTCTCCCAGACTGTGTCACTGGCTTCTGATCATCTTCACCAAGAACCTATCCTTGGTGAAAGCTGGCGGTGCTTTGCCTACCCCTCTCAGAACCAGCTTTCTCATCCTGAAGAATTAATGCCATATATTTTTTCAGATGCTGTACTCTACTTCCTTATCCTCTTCCCCAATAGAACCAAGCCATTTTGCATTTAGACTAGTTCTATATTCTGACAAGGGCTGTTTCTGTTGCAAGGAACAGATACCACTCAGACTAGCTTGAGGCAAAGAGCCAAAGAAACTCATGAACCTCCTAGGTGGGAAGAAGAACTGGGGTTCCCAGGAAAGAAAACCCTGCCTTCCTCTTTGTGGCTGAGTTAAATAGCCACTTCTGCTTATAGCAGTAACAGTGCTAGCATGGGCTAAAGATACAACAGCCTCTGCTACTTTGTTCCCTCTGTCCTGAGAATTGACTTTCAGCTGGCCTGGTGAATCTGTCTAAGGCCACTCACACATTAGAAGTTTCTGATCAGTCATCAGACTCGCTATTTTTGGAGCTGGGGTCTTCCACCAGCTCTTCACTCAGCTCTAGCCAGGATGTGTGAAGGTCACTATGACCACAAGGCTTCCTGCTCCATGAACTGAGGAGAGGGCAGATTCTCTAGAAGGGCTACGCAGATGGGGCACAAAGTGAAATACACCTAATACATTCTACTTGCCCTACCACACATGAGACGTTTAGCACTTACTTGGTGAATATTATTTGACATGTGCAAGCCTAGTTTTTATTTGCTTGCATATTAGAACTGAGTAGAATTGGGTGCTGTTGACTAAGAATGATATCAGGAACTTTGGGGACTTGAGGGGAAGGATGGAGGGGTGTGAGGGATAAAAGGCGACATATTGGATACAGTATATACTGCTCAGGTGACGGGTGCACCAAAATCTCAGTAATCACCACTAAGGAGCTTATCTATGTAACCAAAAGGCACCTGTTCCCCAAAAGCTATTGAAATAAAATGAAATTTAATTTTAAAAAAGAAAAGATAAATTCCCCCACAGATTCAGCTTTCTTAATAATGGTTCCTTATCTGGAAGCAGTGACCTACATAAGCCCTTTCATTATTCCAAATCTTTTTCTTAATATACAACTGTATCATTTCTCTTTGCAGTGGCTGCATCTATTGTATGCTGGACTCGGAACTGTGATCTTCTCACTCGTAAGTCCATTGCTCCATCTCTTTGATAAAGAATGTGGTATGTGCATTGACAAGCCCTTGTGCTAGGCCTGGAGTCACATGGGGTTAGTAATTCACTGGAAACTCTTCAGCTCCCTTCTAAAGGATCATATTTAAAACCATTACCCTCAGGAGAGCCAGATGGTCTTCTGGATCCACTAAAACACCCCTTTTGTTAAAAAAGTAAATATTTCAGAAAAGAATGAAGAGTTATTTATAAGCTTTGAAACTTACTGTAGCAGGGATGTGGTTTCTTTCTTGTTTCTCCTTCCAGAGCAGCTTCTATTCTTTTACTGTAGAAACTTCTCCTAGATAACCGGTGGAGGTCACTGCTAATGTATCTGGGAATGTCTTTCCTTCCATTTAGTCCCATCTCTTGCTGTCATAGCTTTAAAATTATTTTAAGAAATGTTTTATTTAAAAAGTAATACATGCACATATTTCAAAATTCAAACAACATAGAAGACTATAAAATGAAAATTAAAATCTGTCTCTTATCCCCTGTCCCCAGAAGCAACAACTGTTAACAGTTTCTTGGAATCTTTTTCGAATTTTTTTACATATAAGCACCATTTCTTGTTACACAAACATAGCTATACTATACATAATGTTCTACCTTTGCTTTTTTTTTTTTTTTTTTTTTT